CGAACAGCGCGATCTCATGCTCGAGGGCGGCCGCCGAGGGAATGCTCTTGCCACCCTTGCCGCCTCCCTTGTCGAACTGACCACCCGAGACGCGCTTGCCGTAGCCGCCCTTCCCCATGGCGGCGAAATGATTATGAACTGTGAGGGTACGGCCCTCTCCGAAGCTGAATGACTCGCAGGCACGAAGTGCCGTTTTGAATCCTGCACCTGCAACGCTCAATGGCTTGAGCGCAAAACGGCTTCGACCGATTAGGGGCAAGTAGCCCAGAAGGAAGCAATACATGTGGCGGGCTCCGAGGCCCCGAAACCAACAGTACTGTCATCTCTTGGAACGAACACTTTTTACTTCCGCCAGCCTTCCGCCAGCCTTCCGCCGCCTCCCGGCGAGGAAGAGATGGCGACTCCTTCGATCCGCGAAGGCAAGGCCGTGCACTGCCCGCCCTCGGGCTGTTCTCCAGGGCAATCTGGAGCAGATCGTGGCCGATCCAGAGCGGGACGAGGGGCGGCATGAGGCGTTGAGCCCGTGACGAAAGGGGGGGAGAAGCAAGGGCTCCCAGCTTCGCGCTTCGCGCTGCGCGAAGCGCGAAGCGCGAATAACTTCGCGCTCTCGCGCCGCCCCCCCAAAGGGAGAAGAGGAGGACGAGGAGGAGGGGGAGGAGGAAGGAGGACCGCGAAGCGCGAAGCGCGAATAACTTCGCGCCCTCGTGGGAGCCCTTGAAGAGGGAGAGGAAGAGATGACGGTTTTTTTCTCGTGGAGGGCCCGCGCGGCGTGCTCGGAGCGGCGGCGCGACCCCGGCGAACGCGCGCAGTGCCCGCCCTTGGGCCATTCGCCCCCGGGCTCCCAACTTCGCGCTTCGCGCTGCGCGAAGCGCGAAGCGCGAATAACTTCGCGCTCTCGCGCCGCCCTCCCAAAGGGAGAATAGGAGGACGAGGAGGAGGGGGAGAAGGAGCGAGGACCGCGAAGCGCGAAGCGCGAATAACTTCGCGCCCTCGAGGGAGCCCTTGTCGTCGCCTCCGATCGCGGTGGGACCGTTTCTTCCTCCGCGCGCCGCGGCGGCGGCCCCCGCGGCACGCGGCACCCCGCAGGCGCACAGCCGGGGGCGCGGAGAGGCTCGGGGACAGTGACGCTCAGGGGCTGGGGCGCGGACAACTCCGGAGGTCTGAAAGCCCAGGTGGTCTGGTACCGGAAATTTTCGGTAGCGCTTTCGACGCACCCCGAATTTCGGTAGCGACCGGATCTTCGTTTGAGGGCGTTGAAATAGCGGATTTCAGAACGGTCTGATACCGGTATTGGGCGCTACATTTCGGTATTTCGGTGGCGACCGATCTCTGCGGAGCGCTACCGGAAATTTTCGGTAGCGGACCATCAGGGAGGGGGGTGGCATAAAGGGGTGTTGCTCCTGCGCTTTTGCTTCGTTTCGTCCCGGTCGCTCCTGCGCTTGCGCGCGTCCCGCCTTTCTCTGGTTTTGCTGCGTTGGGCTGCCTGTGTTCTCAGGGCCTGGCCTCCCTTCGTCGGGGAGGGTGGGGGAGTGTCTGAATAAGAGTGCTCCGCGGCTGATCGCCTTGGTCTAAAGGGGTGTGGTGTTAATTTCATGTAAAAGGGAACCCTGGCGATGTTTTTCATCGCAGACAGCATCGCATTCCCACGATTGGCACCATATCCCTTTATGCCACACCCCTTTCCGACCTCCAGAACAACGTGCCGCGCCGAACCGTGGTGGGCCAGGACCGGCGGCGCGACAGGCCGTGCCGAAGTTCCTGGCCGTGCTAGGGGTGGATCGGGCATGTCCCCCTACGGGCGGATCAGCAAAATATCAAAAAATGATCAAACATTGTAAAAGAAATCGTTCCCCGACTATTTTTGGACTATTTTTGAATATTCCTCCTGTTCAGGGGCACGCCCGACTTAATACTATTTGGCGGATTGGATGGAGCCCCCCCTGGTTTCGGGGAGCCCTCCTGCCGTACTTTCGGGCCGAGCGCCTGCGAAACGCGCCGACCCCCCCCCATCCCATTGAAAGACCCGCAGGGACACATTGGAAGACCAGGATCTCGCATGGACAACAGCAGAGGAAACAGCCCTCGGGGAGGACGCGGCACCGAATATCTCACAGCCAAAACATTTTTCCCCACATGCTTCGTGGGGTTATGGTTTTCTTCCCTGCCGCGCCGCACCCGCGTCTCACCTCCCCCCTCCCCTTCTCCTTCTCGCATAGCACGACAGTCGTCCAGGCATAGCAGGCGTGGCACTTTCTCGACACCAGAGGGGGTGCGAAGGGGATGGTCCCTGAGCGCGACCGCTATGCACGACGGTCGTCCAGGCATAGCAGGCGTGGCACTTTCTCGACACCACAGGGGGTGCGCAGGGGGTGATCCCTGAGCGCGGCCGCTATGCACGACGGTCGTCCAGGCATAGCAGGCGTGGCACTTTCTCGACACCAGAGGGGGTGCGCAGGGGGTGGTCCCTGAGCTCGGCCGCTATGCACGACGGTCGTCCAGGCATAGCAGGCGTGGCACTTTCTCGACACCACAGGGGGTCCGCATGGGGTGAACGCCTGGCAGTAGCAGTTAATACCCCAGAACGCAATGTTCAGCTTTTGACCCAGGCTCGGGATATATCGTATTCTTTGCACGAGTACCAGCTAAATCTACAAGGTGACTCTACGAAGCCCAATCGTGTCCCTGAGCGCGGCCGCTATGCACGACGGTCGTGCCGGCACAGCAGGCGTGGCACTTTCTCGACACCAGAGGGGGTGCGCAAGGGGTGGTCCCTGAGCTCGGCCGCTATGCACGACGGTCGTCCAGGCATAGCAGGCGTGGCACTTTCTCGACACCAGAGGGGGTGCGCAGGGGGTGGTCCCTGAGCTCGGCCGCTATGCACGACGGTCGTCCAGGCACAGCAGGCGTGGCACTTTCTCGACACCATAGGGGGTGCGCAGGGGGTGGTCCCTGAGCGCGGCCGCTATGCACGACGGTCGTCCAGGCACAGCAGGCGTGGCACTTTGTCAAGAACTGTAAACACCTTGGCTCCAGCTGGCTCGGCGCGCCTGCGCTCTCACGCAGGTGCGCTCCTGTAGTCCTACTTCAGAGCACTGCCCTTCCTGCGCGCGGCAGTCATGCCGCCTGGGTCGGGGCGCGGGTCCTGACACTTCAGGGCACAGGGGAACGCAAGCGAGGTGAGTGGTGTTATCATCAAGCATTTGTAGCCACCTTGGCTCATGCCGTCTCAGGCCGTTCGGGTTTGTACGCAGGCGTGCTCGCGCCAGTGATTGTTCGTCAAAGGTGCGGCGCCCGTCATGGCGCTCAAATGTGCCATGTCCGCGCTGCCGCCTCCGTGCGAGCAGCTCAAGGACTCAATGCTCGAAACATTCGCGACGAGGGTTCAAAACGCAGGTTTCGGCACATATGATGATGGTAAGCAAACGCATAATATTTAAAATAAGTATGTGGGGTTCCTCGGTAGCGTAATTTCCCCAACGATCCTGTGGTGTTGGGTCCTCGTTTTGAAGAGACAGCGCCCCGCGTCACCCCCCTCCTCTCCTCCTACCCCTCCTACCTCCTCCCTGCGTTTCACCCACCCAGTACAACGTTTCGTAGCCCCATAAGGAGCTCCACCGAAGGTCCCAGCGGCGCAGCCTGCATGCGCCACGCACACCGATTTCGGCACACCCCTCACACGCTTCGTGGCCCCATAAAGGAGCTGCACTGAAGGCCCCAGCGGCGCAGTCCGAATGCGCCACGCACGCCCATTTCGGCACACCCCTCACACGCTTCGTGGCCCCATAAGGAACCCCACTGAATACGGTATTCACAATTGCCGTTCGCACGGCTGCACATGGTTGGGTCCTTCGCCAAACTAATTTTTGTTTCCACAGGTGGCCGGCCGGGTGAACATCACCACACCATGTTCATATCACATTAAGCCACGAAGGTTGGTTCCTATCGAGACGACGTTTGCTTCACGCTTGAGCGCTTGTTCGCTTGGAGCGGGAAAGCCAAACATGTGAATATCACGTTTAGCCGCGATCGGAGGCAGGAGCGTCGTGGTCCGCCCGTGCCTCGCAAGCCTCCATCTCTACCGTGAGCCCAGGGAAGGCGCAAGACCTCTCGAACCCCTTACTCTGACACACGGTGGGGGCATTTTTTAACTCGCCGAACGCGCACAAGACGCGCGTGCAGCGCATAGAATTCACACGCGCCGCAAACGGCGGCACGCACGGGGCCAGGGGCGGGGGCGCCGAGCGCGCACCCCGCCGCCCTAGGCCCAGCCGCCCTCCGCCCGCTCGCGCGCCCGCTCGCGGCGGGTCGCCGGCGCGGGAACCCTTAGATAAGGAATCCAGGGTCTGGAGGCCAGTGGAACTCGAATCGAGGCTTGGCCGTGGATATCACCGCCGCCCTCCTCAAATCACGAACCCTCCAGGGTCTGAAACCTCCTGGGTACACTCCTCAACCAATGCCCCCACCGTATGGTCAGTTCCGGAAACCACCTGAACCCCAAAAGGCTGCCAACTCTTGGGGGCGCATTCTTTCACTTCCGCCAGCTTCCACCGCCCTTCCGCTTGCGGAGCCGCTCCCGTTTTACTTCCGCCGCCCTTCGGCCGCTTCGATCCTCGAAGGCGAAGCCCCATATGAGGTGGTCAGGGATTCGGGAAGGGGCAGCGATACGCCACCTTATCCCTGGCCAGGGCCGTATGGGGCCACTCGATGGTATACGCAGCCTCTTGGCTTTGACCAGGAGGGCCTGTATGCCGCTCGATGACCAAACTCTTCCTCCTCCTCCTACCCTCCTCCTCCTCCTCCTCCTCCTCCTCCGCCTCCTCCTTCTCCTCCTCCTCCTCCTGTGGCCCAGCCCAGAGATGGTGGTGATGTGTGGCTGCCTGTTGTGTAAGGGATCGGCCCTAAGGATGCCACTGTGATGCCTTTAGCTGGGGGCCCGCGGGAACACCAGGTTGCGACTGCGAGAAACCGTTCTGACTTTGCCGTGGGGTGCCTGGGGGCAATCACGCTCTGGTCTTTGTGGAGCGTGCGTAGCTGAGCTTGCTGCCTGTACTTATGAAGCATACGACGTACCGATGATGCATGTGGTAATCTCGATGCGTATTGGTAGCCATGGCGTGGACATACGATTGCTCTGCCGTGGGAAGGGTCGCACACCCTTTTCTGAATCTGCCGTTTTGGAAATCGGGGTCCTTGGCCAGGCGCACGGGCAGGTTGGTTTTCCAATTCTGATGTCCCTCCTTGTGCAACTGTAGCTCGAAGGCAATGCAGCCGCCACGAAATTCATTACACAGAAGCCTGAACCGACTACTGCTTCGGATAATAGCTGCGCCTCTAGGAGGGCCCTCCGCGCCCAGTCGAAAGCAAGTGGTGGTGATGATACGTCGCTGCCTCTTGTGAATTCCCAAACGACGGCGGGAGCACATTTTCAGCTATGGACCTGTCTGTCATACAGTTGGATTCTGGGCTCCCTGTCCTAGACAAAAGCTGAGAGAACCGTAAACGCACATACATCAGTCTTACGCTGCCAACTTGAAGATGCACAACCAGATGCACGAAAATGCCGGAAAATTGATCAGCAGGCTGCAGGCTGTCGGCAGCAAGCAAATCAATGCGCCCCCTTTGTAGGGGCCGTCAGGCCGCGAAGCTGATGTTCCATCGACCGAACAGATGGTTTCTCATCGTTGCTCTACAGTTGTCGCGAACGCTGGAGACTTCTTGGAAACTCATCAATCTGGCAACCATGAATTCTGCCGATCCAATTTGCCAAGACCCTAAACACATGATCACTCTGTTTCTCAACGAGTAGGGTTTGCAATCTCTGAGAATGCGCGCGACCCCCTGGGCCAGAAACTAACCCATCACCATCCCAGAACGGCACTCGCAGAGTCTCGGAATGCCCTGGGGCGCGTAAACAACGACAAGTCCGCGCTCCCAGGGGTACGATCCCTTGTGAGAAACGATCGGTCCTGGCTCCGGAAACCGCAATTCATTGTAGAAGCGATGGGTCAACGCTGCCAAGGCCACATCCCTTCGGACAACAAGAAAAAATGGATCCGAACTCCAGATGCCGTAATTTCCGTTTCGCAGCTTATAAGCAGTGGGCCCGCGCTCCCGAGGCTCCGATCCCTCGTTCTTGAAAAACGATGGGTGCGCGTTCCCGACGCCACGATCAGTTTCAAAGCAAATGTTTGCCTGCGATCCTGGGGACACGATCCCTAGTAAACACATCGGCAGACCTTGTCGGCGTGTGCGAGGGTTTTTGAAGCTTTTCGCCTCTCTGTTGCCTCTCTGAGCCCTTCTCCTCAGGCCCGCCGGCCCTTGGGAACACCGAGCTTCGTCCTGACTGCATCTGAAGGGACCTCGTGCTCGCGTCAGAGAGAGGCCCTTCCCTTGGTTCCCATCCCCGCCAAGGGAGGGGGGGGGTCCCGTGTGGAGTGTGGGGGGGGGGGGATGCCCCCCCTCCCCCTAACCCTTGTTGGGGACGCACTGGCCCGGGTCAATCCAGACCCGGGTCAGTCAGGCGTTGCAGGATCCTGCAGGATCCTGCAGGATCCTGCAGGACAGTCGGGGATCTCCTGACCCGGGTCAATCCAGACCCGGGTCAGTCAGGCCTGCAAGATCCTGCAAGCTCCTGCAAAATCCTGCACCCAAACCCGGGTCATTGCGACCCTGGCCCTGCAGGATCCTGCAAGATCAGGCGCTCTGGCTGACCCCCGTTTGCATTGACCCCCCTCTCAAGGCTCCCGAGACAGGATCCTGCACCGAAGCCCGGGCCAGTGCACCCCAGGGCTGAACCTCAACAGTGTTTTTCGTTTTCGCTTTGTTTTCGTTTCCCCTCGTTCTGTCTTCAATCCACCTCTACTGCAAGACGGAATCGGAACGAAAACGGCCCACGCAGTCGCCGAAACACCGTTTAGGTCCAGCCCTGGTGCACCCCTGGCCCCTGCAGGATCCTGCAAGATTCGGCGCTCTGGCTGACCTCCGCTTGCATTGACCCCCGTCTCTTGAGCCCCGACCCTGCAGTGACTCGGGCGGTCCGCGGGCCGCTGTGGCCGTCTCTGTGCCCGCCGGGCCCCCTTAGAGCCTCCTCGGGGCCAACCTCGGCCAGCTTCGGTGCTCTCGGGCGCTTTTCGCAGGGATCGGCCTACACAGTGTGTCTCTTCTTTGTATTGTCTTCATTTTCCCTCGCTTCGTCTTCAATCCACCTTTGCTGCAAAACGGAATCGAAACGAAAGCGGCACACGAACTCGCGAAAGCACCGTTTAGGTCGACCCCTGGTTTCTCGGGTCGTTATGGCGGCCGGCAATCAAAAAAAACGAGCATCGTTTGGGTCCATTCGGTTTCGTGCGATTTGAACATTCTCGCCGTCTCAGTCGCCAGAGCGTACCAGGACGCCCCCTAAGGCTGGTCCAGAACGGCCCAAGAGACCCCCGAGGCGGGCCCCAAACTCTCGCCTTCCGCCGCGTCGCTGGAAACCAGCCCTTCCGACGTGATCCCAGGACTGGCAAGATAACCCCAAGAGGTCCCAAGACGACACTATGCGTGCCCTACGGTCAGGAACTTTTGCTCATCGTGTCGCAGCGGCGGCCCCAGCGACATGCTAGCGTGTCGCTCCGCTCCGCGGGGCGGGAGGCTCCGAAAGGCTCGTGACATTGACGCTCGGAAACTGGGACATTGACAACGTGTCGCGCCGAAGCGCGGTGTGCCAGAACCGGCGGCGCGACATGCCAAGCAAACGTTCCTGACCGTAAAATGCTCCTCAAGGCCTCCCCAATGACGCCCCTGAAGAGGCCTTCAACGCTTTTGGACACTCCAGCCTCTCTCCGCCATCCCCTCTGCCCCCTCCTCCTTTCTTCTCCTCCTCCTCCTCCTCCTTCATCTTCCACCTGATCACTTCTCGTCCTCCTCCTCCTCCTCCTCCTCCCCCACCTCCTCGCGTCTCCTCTACGTTACTCTTCCGCCTCCTCGATTCCCCCGTCCAGAATATCCCTCGCTGCTCCCCTCACATCCTCCGCTTGATCAATATCATCATCCACACTTTTCCGTATCATCTCCTCCGTATCCTCCTCCTCCCTCCTCCCTCCTCCTCCTACCCACAAGATCTGATCCATCTCCTTTTTCATCCCCTCCTCCCCCTGCTCATTTCTTCTCCGCCTCATCCTGCGTCCTTCTGTCCGCGCTGCTCCAGACACCGCCTCCGCCCGCTCAACCTCATCCTCCTCATTCCTCCTTATCATCCGCATCCGTCTCCTCCCGAGTAGGAGGAAGAGGAGGAGGAGAAGGAGGAGGAGGAGGAGGAGGAGGAGGAGGAGGAAGATCCTCCTCCGCCTCCTCCTTGTCTCCTCCTCGCCGTGCGCCCTTCGTGTGTCCCCCTTCCCCTATGTGCTCTCCGCGGATCACGGCTCGTGATTCCGCTTTTTCGGGTGTGCTCGGTGGCCTTCGCGGCAATCTTCCCTGTCGCGAGGCCAGCCCAACCGGTGAGCGATCCCAAACCATTTCTGGCTCGTGGCCGCGCGGCCGCGCGGTCTCTGGTTTCTCCCTCTCTCTCTCTCTTTCCCGTCTCTGCTGGTGGAGCGCTCGTCCCTCTGCGAGGTTGGAGCCAGGGGGCGGCGGCCGAAGATAGACATCATGCTAACGTACGCCTTCTCCTCCTGCTCATCGCTCCTCCTCCTCCTCCTCCTCCTCCTCCTCATCCTCCGAAACGTCCTGCTCACTTCTCGTTCAGGCCACGACCCCTAGCAAACAATCGGCGGCGAGCGAGGGAAACGAGAAGGGCCTTCCCAAAAGGCGCGGGAGTCACCGGGCCTTCTGACAGGTCTTCGAAGCCTTCCCCGAGGGCACAGAAAACGTCTCAGAAGGCGCGTGGGCTCCTCCTCTTCCTCCTCCTCCTTCTGAGAAGCCCCGCCGCCTTCCGAAAAAGCCGGTCTCCTCCTCGCTTCCTCCCTCGCCCGCCGCCGAAACAAGACGACAACCACGCCACCGAGATCACGATCTTTGGGAACAAAACAAAATTTGGCGGCGCGCACAAGGGGGTGGGGTGAGGGGAGATGGCTTCTTAGAAGCAGGGGTGCTTCTAAGAAGCCCTCCCCCCTCCCCCCACCCCCCTCTGCGCGTGGCTGAAAAATCTGCGCCAGGAGCCTGCCAACCAACCAGCCAACCAGCCAACCAGCCTGCTGTCCAGCCGGCCGGCCGACCAACCAGCCTGCCAACCAGTCAGCCAGACGGCCAGCTGACCAGCCAACCTGCCCGCCAATTCGCCATCCACCCAAGCAACTCAACCAACTGGCCCAGCCGCGCAGTAAGTCAAACGGGGGGCCGGCGGCAGTGGTCGAATCCCTTCAGATGACTGGGTGCCACGTGCACGGGAGAACTGGCCAGCGTATCGTCTGCCCTTGATAAACCCAACGAGCTGCTTCGCGGGATATCGCAAGCAAGGGAGACCGCTCGACCCCCGGCACACTCTAGCAGAAAAGACCGACTTAGTCGTCAAGCAGCGCCCGAGACTTTTGCGGGCACAGGCTGTAAGAACTTCGGCTTGCGGTATAAGAGCATCCCGAGGGCTATGATGTTAAAGGCCACCATTAGAACGCCGAGGATCGCGCAACTCTTCATAATGAGGTCTGCTTCTGTGAACTTCAGCTGCGACAGAACTTGCTCTCCGGTCTCGATGCAAACTATGTCGCTGGAATCACACTCAAACGTGGCATCCTCGAACTCGTTGACCGCCAAAGCTTGGAACGCATACTTGATCGGGGAGATCTCCCTGAGCCACACGAAATATACAGGCACTGAGTCCACGTTGATGAAGTTACCGTTGAAGATCAGGAAGATGATGACGATCGCTGGAGCGATCTGTGGGGCCATTGTCACACTCGGGAGCAGAGCAGACAGGAACATGCCCACGGACACGAACACCATGGTCTCCAGGACGAGTGCGAGACTAAAGATCCAGAACGACCCCGACAAGTTTGCCATGAAGAACAATATGACGTTGGACAAGATCTGGGGACCGACCTCCGGGGGAATCGACACCGCCAGCGCCGTGAGATCCGCTGCTGCCCCCTGGCACGCTGAGGCGTGGGAGGATTCCAGGTGCTGCCTGGCAGGGCTTTGCTCCCCCAAGGAGTACAGTCGGGGCGGTGACCTAAGGAACTCTAAATAAGGAACGAGGCCCATTTTCCATATGATAAACTTCGATTTCCGATCGAAAACATAAGGAAAACCTGAGGCAAGCTGTGAAACACTTAAGGAACGCGGAGCCCCTCCCCAACCAAAAGGGTTCCTTCTTCAGGGCCCCGACTGTAGAGACGAGAGGTGCCACAAATGAAGGCTTTCTTGCTGGTGCCCAAGCCTCGCTACACAAATACCCTGACATCAGCCGATCTCATCTTGTCAATCCGCGGGCCAGGAGGTCCCTTATCGTTTCCCGGGGGGCAATTTCCGTACCGGAATCTGCTTCGTAACCCCTGGGCTCAAACAACTGCCATCTGAAATCACAGAACACCGCTGGCTGAAAATAAATTCCGATGAAAGGCCCCACCGTGCAGCTGCGAGTACCGTAAAGCAGGTGGTTCGAAGAAGAGGGGCGATCAAACTACGTGTGGCGTACGATATGGCCTCTCCTTGTTTGTAAGCAGTGTGCCACAAGAGGATGCGACTCGAGAGGACGCCACCACTGGGGCCCTCCGTGGAGCTCCCTATGGGGCCATGAAGCGTGCGAGGGGTGTGCCAACATAAGCGTGGTCACGCATGTGGGCTTCCCCGCTCGTGCCCTCCGTGGAGCTCCTACGGTGCCCCGAACACATTGCGGCTGAATGTGCCAGAGTGGGCGTGGTCAGGTATGCGGACTTTGCCACTGGGGCCTTCGGTGAGGCTCCCCATGGGCCACGAAGCAGGTGAGGGGTGTGCCGACATGTATCCGGGTTCGCATGCGAGCGCTGCCACTGTGGCCTGGGGCCACGAAGCGTGTGATGGGGTGTGCACAAATGGAGCTCCCCATGGGGCCACGAAGCGTGTGAGGGGCATGCCAAAATTTACCAGTCCGCATGCGGGCGCTGCAAGTGGGGCCTTCGGTAGAGCTCCCTATGATTGGTGCCACGAAACAGGTGATGGGTGTGCCAAAATGAACCCGAGTCCGCATGCGGGCGCTGCCACTAAGGCATCCGGTGGAGCTCTCTATGGGGCCACGAAGCGTGTGAGGGGTGTGTGTGTGCCAAAGTGGACCCGAGTCCACATGTGGGCGCTGCCACTGAGGCCTTCGGTGGAGCCCCCCAATGGGACCATCGAGCGTATGAGGGGCGTGCCAGAATGGGCGTGGCCACGCATGCGGACCCTACCGCTGAGGCCTTCGGTAGAGCTCCCTATGGTGCCACGAAGCGTATGAGGAGTGTGCCAGAATAAGCGTGGTCACGCATGTGGGCTTCGCCACTCGTGCCCTCCGTGGAGCTCTTACGGTGCCCCGAACACATTGTGGCTGGATGTGCCAGAATGGGCGTGGTCAGGTATGTGGACTTTGCCACTTGGGCCTTCTGTGGAGCTCATCTGGGGCCACTAAACGTGTCAGGGGTGTGCCAGCATGGGCGTTGTCACGCATGTGGGCTTGGCCACTTGGGCCCTCTGTGGAGCTGCCATGGGGCCACGAAGCGTGTGAGGGGTGTGCCAGAATAGGCGTGGTAAGGCATGCGCACTTTGCCAATTGGGCCCTCTGTGGAGCTCCTATGGGCCACGAAGCGTGTGAGGGGTGTGCCAGAATGGGCGTGGCCACGCATGCGGACCCTACCGCTGAGGCCTTCGGTAGAGCTCCCTATGGGGCCATGAAGCGTATGAGGAGTGTGCCAGAATAAGCGTGGTCACGCATGTGGGCTTCGCCACTCGTGCCCTCCGTGGAGCTCTTACGGTGCCCCGAACACATTGTGGCTCGATGTGCCAGAATGGGCGTGGTCAGGTATGTTGTCTTTGCCACTTGGGCCTTCTGTGGAGCTCATCTGGGGCCACTAAACGTGTCAGGGGTGTGCCAGCATGGGCGTTGTCACGCATGTGGGCTTGGCCACTTGGGCCCTCTGTGGAGCTGCCATGGAGCCACGAGGCGTGTGAGGGGTGTGCCAGAATAGGCGTGGTAAGGCATGCGCACTTTGCCAATTGGGCCCTCTGTGGAGCTCCTATGGGCCACGAAGCGTGTGAGGGGTGTGCCAGAATGGGCGTGGTCAGGCATGCGGACTTTCCTGATGAGACCTGAGATGGAGCTCCCTTTGAGGCAATGAAGCGTGAGACATGCGGAGGGCAAGAAGCATGCTGGGGGAAGGGAAGGAGCAGGAAGTTTGGCACGCGGGGCGCTGCTGATTCAAAGCGAAGACCCAGACCCACAAAATGGCTGGAAAATTGTATCATCGGAGATCTGTGGTTCTGCGCCGGCACGGCACCGGAGCTTGCCGCAGGCAACCTGATAGAACGGAGTGATGGCGTAGAGTCGGTTGGCGCGCTCCCGAGTCACGATACTGAGCTGTCGCGGAATGATCTGCGCAGTGCCGATCGACGCGCCGAAGGCGGTGTTCATCGAGAGGAACGTGAGGAGCATCGCCCTGTCCTGAATGTTGACCTGCAAAAACGAAGAGCAGGAAGAGGAGGAGGAGGAGGAGGAGGAGGAGGAGGAGGAGCAGCATGAGAAGAAGGAGTGGGAGGAGAGAGGGAGGAGAGGGAGAAGAGGAGGATGAGGAGACGGTGGCGGAGGAGGAGGAGGAGGAGGAGGAAGATGGGAAGGATTTCGCCAACACGCTGCGCGGCGCTTGGGCGAGGACTGCATTCGCCTGCTCTCACGAGGCCTCGCTGCCGCTGTCGCTTGCACGCGATCGGCGAACGAACCATGCGCCGCGCCCGCGCGGGACACCACTTCCGAGCGAACTGCACACAGAATTTTGGCGAGGGTGACAAATCGCCCATCCGCGCGGGCACCCCCAAATTGTTGAGCGACGACAAATGTGCGCCGTGTCGAAGCGGGAACGCCACTTTCAAGCGAAATCTGCGCGGCGCCGAAACATGAGCTACGTTATCGCCCGCTCGCGAGTCAACGAAGTGGCGTGCTAATAATGTACGCCGCGCCCCAGCGGGAGTTCAATCCACCAGAAGAATGAGCGGCACTTCGGCCTTTCGCGCGGGATGCGCGCCCCGTCTTGTTCCTGCCACGCATTTTGCAACATGGGCGACCGAATATCCATGTTCCATGTTAAAGCGAACATCGTCGACTTTGTATTTTCCCACAAGCCGTGTTTGTACTTAGGGTTTTTTTACTTATTTCCTAAGGAACTGGGCCTGTCTGCCGTTCTGGCGGCTACGTCGCCACCGTCGCCGCCCAGTCGCCGCCTTGTCGCTGCTTGTCGTCTGGGCCTGTTTGCCGCTCTGGCGGCTATGTTGCCGCCGTCGCCGCCCCGTCGCCGCCTCGTCGTCTGGCTCCGAATAACGGTGATGCGGCAGCCAACTCCAAGCACTCATCGCGGTCGCCGCCGCATAGGTTCTGCATACCAAATTGCGGGTGGGCGGGTGGTATGATTGCGCGAGCACTGGAGTAAACGACTCACTGCGAACAGAAATTAATTCTCCTTTCTACCGAGAGTATTCGGATCTACCCCCCCGGAATGAACCGCACCCCTTTTCGTATTGCAATTTGCACACTTTTGTGCCCCAGCATCCATCCTAAATATGAGCTCGTACCATCCCAGGCAGGCCGGTCTCGGGAGGCCCCATGGGACAAAAGCGCACGAGCGCCCCACAACGTGTGGAAGGAACTTCCCGCTGCCCCCTGCCTGCTTGTACCCCAGCTGGAAATAAACGAGGCCGAATACGGCGGTGAAGACCATCTGAAACATCGTCTTGAACAGCACGGCGAACTTGTCCCGCATCCTCAGATGCCACCACCGATTCCCCACCTCGTCCTCCTCCTCCTCCTCCTTTTCCCTGTCCTCCCTGTCCTCCCTGTCCTTCCTGTTTTCCTCCTCCTCCTCCTCCTCCTCCTCCTCCACCTTTTGCTCCTCCTCCCTCTTCCTCCCTCTTCCTCCTTCTCCCCCTCCTCCTTCCCATGAGGAGCTGCTGGGCCCCGCGCTGCTCCCGCCACCCCCTGCGCAGCAACAGCACGAATGGCGTCACAAAGGACCCGTGGCCGGCGGGCGTCGACTTGGGCAGGGCGTCGAGGATGGATGCCGCGCACGGCTCGTCGCCAGGCGGGGGCGC